TGTGTTTTTATTTTTTTATTTTTTTTGGTGATAGTACATATCTTGGTTAATGATAATTCTTGTTTAGCTTCTAGCAAGGGTGCATCCAGAGAATTGGTATTTTAAATCAGAAATACGAACTTGTTTATGTTAAAAGTAGGCAGCTGTCAATAAAGAGGATTTTCATGTAGAGAATTGGTATTTTTCGTTATAAGGTTAATTCCCACTAATTCCCACTAATTCGAATATGGAAATCTTCTAGAAGTGATTACAACTATGGAGTGCTTCTGGCTTTTTTTTTTTTGCCTTTTGCTGATTAATTCAAGTAATTAGAGGTTTGTATGCATGGCTCTAACTGTTTGGTCTTTCAATGCAGGCCTCCCGCACCCAAGAAGTTTCTTGCATTAGGAAGTGCTGCTCCTTATCTGGGAAGGAAAGCAAGAGAGGGGAAAGCAGGGAAAGCAAAGGATTCCAAGCAAGGCAAATATCTCATTGTTCTTCTAGAGCATTAATTTGAGAAGATTGGCAGAATGAAGTTTCAGTTTCTTCTTCCTAGCCATCATTCTTCATTGGATCTCATTCTTTCTTTTGATTGGACAATTATAGATCTAATTCTTGTTTATCTACAATGGAAGACTAGTAGTGGCAGCCCTACCAACCACTGAGGTAAGTTATTTTCTATGTTATGTGTGTGCTATATAAACAAAAGGACATGGTACCCAGTCATCCTGGTTATCTAAATTGTGGATAATTTGTCTAGGAGTTTTAAAGGGTGCATTTGGTTTCATATGATTTCATGCATTTGAAATGTCTTTTCTGTGCTTAATTTTGATCCACTGAAGCTTTAGGGCATCTTAAGTATCAAAAGATCGAATTGATGTTCGTAGGAGATTCAGTGCAGAGAGCCTAGTTTGAGTCAATGGTTTGTTTGGTGCAATCTGTGATTCTTGAGGAGAAGAAATCCTTCCATAGAATTCCTCCCACAACCACAATGATCTTTAAAGCTGAGGTACCATGACTTTTCTACCTATCCTGCTTTCCTATATTGCATGAATTTTTTACTTTATCCTAATAAATTCACATTTAACATGTTAAATTGTTTGAATCTTATGTCTATTTCAAAAGACTTGAACCCTTAAATTAAAGGAAGAACTTATAAAAAATTAAAGTATGCATGTCACCATGTCAGACACTTGATCATGGTTTTCTGAGCTTTGGAAATGTGTTTCAGGAGTACAATGCATCAATTGAGTACCACTGGGTTCCCTTCATGGTGGATTCTGATTCATACCATGCAACATATCATACTGTCTTGAGATGACTAGTGAACCTTGCTGCCAAAGCCAATCATGGCAGGAGCTAGGAAGGACTTGATGTATTGGTGTTTGAGAGCTATATCTGGTGGATGCACAAGCATAACAAGCCCAGATCAATGCTATGTAAGTTGACAGTTTTCAAGCTAAGGCTTTCTATTCTGTCCAAATTCTTCTGGTTTTTCTGAATCTTGCTGCCATAGCCAAACACAGCAGGAGCTAGAAGGAGTTGATGTGTTGGTGTTTGGAGCGATATCTGGTGGATGCACAAGCATAAAAAGCTTGAGATCAATGTTATGTAAGTTTTCAGTTTTTGATCTAAGGCCTCCTATTCCATCCAAATTCTTCTGGTTTTTGTGCTCAAGTGCAAGTTTTTTATTTGAAGATACATTTTGGAGTCCAACACGTTAATCTAAGTTCTAACTTTCTTCCTGAGGTTCATGTTTTTTTCTTTTTTTTTTTTCTTCTTTATCAGTTACGGAACTACTGAGATTTTTCAAGAATATAATGTGACAACTAGTCAATTGAGAAACCTGGGCAAATTGGATAGAATCCAACATCAGTCCTTTATGTCCCCTACACATATTTGTGGTATGTTTCACTTGCTGTTTTCTATTAAGAAACATCCCAAGCCCCCAAATTATGAAAAGATGATGATAATATAGGGAGCTATCAAGCTGTTATAAACCCTTTTGATGAAGTAGAAGAAGTTAATCCTTTCTTTGTTAATCTTCTTTTCTTTTCAAATTTAAAAGATTTTTTTTTAATGATATGATTCTTATTACTACTCAGTGATCATGAATATGTAGAACCCTTCAAGGCTTTCACCTCTTCTAGCAGAACTAGTTGCTTTCTGCTATGGTCGTGATGCAAATCATGATGTCCCTCTTGCTATAGTCACCAGACCCAGTTTTAAGGTTAGTTTATTTACCTAAAGTCCATCTCCATCCATGACCATGTAGAACTTGAATTGTGATTTTTTGTTTTGTAGATTGGCCACCATTTGCCCCAATCGTTCGTAATGATATTGCAAATGATGTACTGATTTATCTACAGAAGTTTATGTATGTTGCCTTTTTATCATTCTAAGGTATGCAAGCTTTTTCACTTTTGTACTTTTTCTATATGGTTATTTTAGCCTTTCATTTTGGTAAATTATGTATATTGACAGAATGCATGCAATTGTATCCGAGATGTAATGGTTATCAGTTTGTATATATATATGTTATGAATGTTAATTTTTTTTTCTTCCCGTATGCAGGATTGGTTTTGTGCATTTTTTAGAATGACATATGGCTGCTACTCCAGCATTCATCAAAGGGGAAGGTTGGAAGCCAAGCGATAATGAGAACTGCTTTAACGAGACCCATCCAATCCAAGAAGCATCATACAAGAACTAAAGATCAACCATTCCAGTTTTGAACATTACACAATTGTTAGAATATATCAGAAAAATGCTCATACATTTCTGTTTATGAAGACCCTAAAATTTTGCTGATTGCATTCATTGGTGCTTGCCGGGACCACCCTAAGAAGATGCTCAGTGCATCTGTTTATGGCTCATACATGGAATGAGATTTTGTATGCATAATTGTTGAACGGTTGTAAAAATCTTCTGAACTTCCTTTTTGGAAATCAAGATACTGACAAAACAAAGAGTGAGTTTCATCATTTTCTTTGCGGTAAGACAAGATATTGACTAAAATCGGACAGAGACAATACCAGAGAAAGTCATATCTAAAAGTTTTGTAAAACAAGAGTTTTTGATAAAAATTATCATCATTTTCAACTCTTGCAAATGGTTTGAGTCTCAAGGATGGAGCTCCCTTTGGAGTCTTGAATCTCTCTTGGTTGAATGTCTTTTTTATGCAACCTTCAAATTCTAATAATTGCTTACAAATAACAGGCATGTTTCCTGTGATTACGGTAGTTCAAATTTTTTTGAGATCAGAACATTTAGCTCTTAAAAGGTATTTCTTTTGTCAAGTTCTCTGGGATTCCAAACTTACTGTTCAAGCACAATGTTGATGGAACAAGCAAAGATTGTGAGAAGATGGTACTTGTAGAGGGCTACATGATTTAGGTTGCCAAGTAATTGAGGTAGTCTGAAAATTGAAAGTGAAACCACAAAGAAAGCTGATAGTAAAGCAGTGATCAACATATACCATCAACAGATTAATGATGGTTCTTGTTTAGCATCTGCTTTAAAAACTTGATTTTGGTATTCTAAGCTTTGGAAATGTGTCGGGTATATATATCAATTGACTACTACTGGGCTCCCTTCATTATGGAGTCTAATTCACGCCATGC